TCTTTTTATTGCTTTAGCACCTTTAGCTTACAGCATATGTAAAAATTGTACAACTTTGTGTTTTTATTTGTTTTTATATCCCCATGGGGACTGTGGATTGACTTCCAATAATTTTCTGGTAATTTTATAGCCTAACCCTGACCATTTGTCTTAAAATTAACCTCACCTGACCCTAAACTAAACTAAACTCAATTCACACCTTGGTCCTAAACCCAACCCCCCCATATGAAATTAGCATCTGTACCTGTAGAGACCAAGCTTTGGTCCCCACGATGCACATTTGATCCCCACGAGGCTGGAAAATGGTTCCCAAGATGTAGCAAAAACATGCCCACACACATACACACATGCATATATACAGTATATATATTTTTTTCAAGAACTAATTAAAATATACCAGACCTTATTGAATGTTTGCTTACTGCTGTAGTGAGTAGTTCATTTCATAATTGGTAAATGGTAAATGGCTTGAACGTATTTAGCGCCTCATGAAGTCCCGTCAGACTCCAAAGTGCTTTACACTTCAATCATTCATGCATTCATTCACAAAGTTACACTGTTGCCACAGCTGCCCTGGGGCACACAGACAGAGGAGGGGCTGCCATGCATCAGTGCCGCCAAGCCCTCTGACCACCACCAGCAGGCAGGTGAAGTGTCTTGCCCAAGGACACAACTGAGACAGATGTAATGGGGGATCGAACTGGCAACTCRCATGTTATAGGACGACTCCCAAAAATACAACTGCATAACAAACACTTTAACATGGAGCTTTTGAGAAAATACTAATTGGACAAACAAACTGAGTCTGACCTATGRAGATCATGCAATCAAGTGTTTATTTAAAGCATAAACTTTTTTTGGGATCAGAGTACAGAGCAAATAACTGTGACTTGGCATTTAGTAAAAGTGCATTACCAACAAAAAAGCAGCTATTTGAGCAGAGGTGACAGTAATTCACTGTATTTAAAAGCCCAAGCGTTGGTCGGTTCGAATAAATTGAAAGAAAAATGTGTTTTTGAAAGGCTTTTTAAATGGAACCATTCGACTTTTTGAGTCTCTGAGGCTGTACCAGGAATAGGCAAATGTGGGAGAGTAGTTCTTTGATTATCGGGTGAAGTTTTCTATATGAATCAGCCTTCCTAGGCTTCAAYACGATGGTGCTTACTGAATGCGCCAGTGTGTTTCCAAAGGGAATAGGGATACAAAGGAACTTGTTGGTCCATGCAATTTAAAGACAATGATACTTCTTACAAGCAGTGGTGGACAAAGTAGTTAACTCTAGTACTTGAGTAAAAGGACTGATACTCATGGTAAAAACTTACTCAACTACGAGTAAAAGTTGCTTGGTCAAAAATCTGTTAAAGTACTGAAGTACTTTTGAAAATACTTAAGTATT